AAAAAAAAAAAAAAGTTTTTAACCATTTATGTAATATGCCAAAACCTCGGGGGCAACTTTTCAGTTAACAGAGACTTAAGAATATTCAGTTACTGCCACTCACCAACAGATTGATTCACAGCTTTCATGCAGAGATTCTCATAATACTCCTTCCCTCTCCCTCTGCAGCTCCTGAGGACATGAAACCCGTTATCACCCTCCCCAATGCTCGACTCGCCACACCCCACCCTCCCAAGACCCTCAATATGCTTCACCCTTTCCATCAGCTCGACATCTGATGGGCTCGGATAAGGCAGCCCAACCATCACAATGCACCGGCCCATCCCGTCACTAAAATTGATGCCTTCAGATATTTTCCCGCCCACAACCGCAAATAGGATTGCACCACTGCAGGATGTGGGGCCCATGGGTGCAGGTGCTTCGATTGCTTCGCTGTATTCCCTCAGGACAGCCTCCACCTCAGTGCTCTTCCTGGGTTCCCTGAAGACACGCTTTCTCTTAGTAATTCTCGAGAGGATACCCGAAGTCCTCCAGGCCTCGTGGACCTGTTTTTCGTAGTCGAAAGATGAGAAAAAGACAACTATACCCTCAGGAACCACCATCACTAGATTGGATATCATGAGACCTAGCTCTGTGATCTGCAGCAAAAGGGAGGGAGAAATTGTAACTTCAAAAGACAATCGGATTTTTATGTTATCTTTTTATTTTGGAATTTATACTGAGACTCAAGGTATTTTTGTGATTGACCCTAGAAACTGAGAAAGTATCTGAGGTAAAGGTGAGAGGAATGAATTTTTCACAGTACAAGGTTAAAGTGGAGGACACTTTTTCTTTCTTACCATGGTTGATGAGCTTCTGGCCTTGTAGCTGAAGTCGAAGGACTGGCCGGAAGGCCCGTACTTGATAGCAATGGGTATAATATTTTCGGAAGGAATAACATGACCACATGCAAAGAAGGGTAACTGTTCAAGCCGTAGTGATGGGAAAAGCCTTTCCTTTGTTTCCTCTATTGGCTGTAAAGTTCCTCCGGCCAAGATAACTGCATGAGCTTGGTCAAGGACCTATCCGGAAGGAATTGATATATGATCAAAAGAGAAATATGAGAAATGAAAAAAAAGTTACAGAATATCAAAGATGTAAAATTTCAGGCCAACCTCAGAAAATATTTTCTCTCCAGTAAGCATGACATACTTTATATATCCTCCTTGTAGCCCATCACACGTTTGCATAGGCCTTGAGACTATTATTTTTCCATCACTGTCCTTATTTATCAAGGATGAAAGAATATCAGCCAACGCCCTAAAACCAGATATTGCACTTTCATCCTCAATGACTATTTTGTCATCTTCAGCATTTGCAGAACTTTTGGAGACGGCAACTTTATCTCCATAACCACTGATCTAATAATAGACAGAAAAATACTTAAATTTTAACAGACTAATATTACTAGAGGACTAGGAAACAAATGTTGCGTGAGAAATAAGGAATAGCAGTTACCTTGTAAATTATGTTGCTTTCTTTCATGTACTGCAACAGCTTGACCAAGTTTATGTTGTCAATATTTAGAGCAAATAAAAACTCGTTTATGGTCATTGTGGTAACAGAAGCACTTCTTATCTCCTCGGCTTCACATGGGGGATTAGAGTGGCTCATAACTTTCCCATCATCAGACAACATTTCTAGAAAAGCTCGAGCGAGGGTCATCAGAGTCTGGATATATCTCCGGTTTCCTGGTCCGAGAAGATTACGGAACCGTCTAAAATACCCGTCCAAGTGACACTTCAATTGATTCAACTGAAAGTGAAAAGCGAATAGTTGAGTTGATAGTACACCGAAATACTTATTAAGAAGCTCAAATAGTAAACGACAGACAATGCCAAAGTAAGGCTACTACTAATTACCTGGGACACTGTAATGTTTGCATCGTACATACTGATTAGAGTATCGGCTAGATTATGGGCTTCATCTATGATAACAACACTATTTTTTAAATTCACACCCAGTGATTCACGAGATGATTTTGAAAGAAGAGACTGATAAGGAAGAACCACAAGGTCTGCTGCAGGCATCATTCTTCTTGATCCATAATAAGGGCAACCTCCCAAATTACGTCCAATACTAACTAGATCTTCAATGTCCAGAGCCTCCCGCTGCATAACTTCGTTCCTGAACTCTTCTATTTTCCGTCTCCTTAGCATCGGACATCCAGAGGATGATTTATTACAGCGTACTTTCTTTCCCGCGCCCAATTTCTGCTAGATCAGCAAGACAACTTCAAGAAAACATAATATTACTTGGTCACATAAAAGAAGAAAACAAGAGGCATAGTTTGCACAAAACAAGAGTTTCTAGCTTAATATGATCAAATCCAATCCCGATAGTTTCTTAACGTATCAAAATAAGCATGTGTCACTATACTAAAGATAATACCTTCATTTTAGAAGCTTCATTCTTCTTATTCTTTTGAAGCTCCAAGCACCTCTCGTTTATACGTGCGGAATTTCCCAGCCTCACTACCTCTATAAATAGAAAACCAACAAATAAAAAAAAGGTTCAGTGTAACACGCACCGCACACACTCAGCCCAGACTACAACTATAATACAAACATCAACAAGGAATAGAAAAAAAAAATCAGCATTGTGAAAGAGCGCGCGCATACACCAAATTCCAACTGCAAACAAAAACAAATTATGGTGAGTAGTAAGACCTCAGACCTTCATTGATGCAAAAATTTTTCCTGGAACCCAAGCAAACAACCTTCAGCTCACTCGCAAATTTAGTCTTCCTCAGCTCTTTCATGAACTGCGAGAGCTGTGAGTGTGTCCGACTGCAGAAGAAGATCTTCAAACGTGTCTCCTCATCTTCCTCACCATCAAACTTTTCTCCCTCGCTCGATAAATCATCATCCACACCGACATTCTTTCTTTTCGATTTCCCCTCGTTTTCTGCATCACTCTCATACTCTTCCAACAAAAACTCATGATCATCCACCTCATCCACCCCGTTCTTCACCTTCTTGCCGTTAGCCATCTCCTTTTCTACTTCTCCTTCACCAGGGCTAATCAGATCTGGGAAAGCACCTTCATTTCCCTTCGGACGGGACCCGATTTTATTTCGTTGTAGTGGGTTTTTCGGCCCGGTTAATTCCTGTCCGTTATTTGGTACGAAGTTTCTCATCCAGTCTGGCTCGTCGTCCTTCCCATTAACCTCACCCGACTTTTCCTCCCCACCATTTTCCAAACTCTCCTGCTTCTTCCTGTCTACAAGCCACTGCAGAGCACTGCATATCATGCTTAGGGTTTTCCCAGTCCCTGTCAAAAACCCAGATATCAATCCAAGCACTCCGATAACAGAAAAACACCCAAAAGAATAGAAAAGTGAAAAATTAAAGTAAATCAATTCAGCCAGTAACACAACAATCTATCAAAATGCCCTCCCTCAAAAGTCAAAACCGAATACTAAACGAATTAATAAAGGCAACTGAACTGATGATGTTACTACGAAATATGACCGATTAAAGCATGGCAAAAAACTGCGATTTACCCGTGGGGCTTTCGAGCATGGAAATGCCACCTTTGTCGAGGGATTTGTATAGGAATTTCATGAAATCGAGCTGGATCGAGTAGGGTTCGTAAGGGAATGCAGGGAACTCAATTTCGGTGCTATTCTCCATTTGTGCTGTCATTAGTTCTTCTTCACTGCGCTTTGATTATTTCATCGCCTTC